ATGCATCAAACTGACGGCACAGCCGTTGATAACAACCACCTTTTGTTCTCAGTTGTATCAGCAACCTCAAATATTGGGACCAGGTACAAGTAGGTGAAACAACTATCTACTACCGAACAGTGTTATTAGCATTTACCATACTCTTTGAAGGTTAGATGTACACAAACGTAAATAGAGACTTGTGTATAGCTTCCCTTATTACTGCTGAGCTATAATAAAGATGTAACACGATGGTTCGGTAGGTTGATTCTCAGAAAGAAATTCACGGGCCATTCTGAATGTGCATTTTACCATGCTAAACTGAAGCAACTATACATCAGTATACAAAATTATAGAGAACTAACAACATAGATTTAAGTTCATGAAATCACTAAAGTCTAATGATTCCGAAAGCAGAATCAATAGAAATGACTCCGGAAGTGGAATCAACAGATTCAAGTAATTATTTCGTAACTGTCCAAACAAACACATTTCAAAACAGTTCAAAGCTGCACAGCTGGTCCGGGTGTTTCAAGGACTGTTAAGCGTAAGCATGTTCAGGCAGTTCTACCTTTCTGAAACTGCAACAAGGGCCCAAAAATAACAAACAGTTGCTCTATAAAATCCTGAATAAGGTTCTCAGTGCTTCCACAAGCACGGGTCCTAACAGATCTGTAGATAGTTCACTTCATGAACATCATTGTGCCTGGTCCAAATCGGAATGCTGGGTCATGGATGAAATAGTTCTTACCCCTTGTTGGTACACAAATATGGTGGAAACATCAAATTCAGTTCACATTTGCCTTTCAAATCTAACAGGTGTGCCTTTTATGTAATTGAATTCTAATCTATTTGCAAGAATATTCGCATGTGCAATTATACACCAGCACATTAGATTCGTTGAGCGTGCATACACAGTAACTAGGCACTAAGTTTTCAATCAAATACAATACTGTGATATGTCTTAATGAACAACTCATAAGATTATATGTTGTGGTGAAAGAACATCAAGAAACTACAGAATGTATACAAAATTATTACATCATATGTAAAAAAATACAAAATAGAAACATAAGTAAAATAGAAATATCATCGTAATAACACATTGATTCTGACAGTTAACACTGACCAGCTGGTCACCGTGAACACAGGATCGGTTGCAGTTATGTATGAAAAGTATGTGACCAAATTCAACAGAAATCAATAATAAATCATATTCTAAGAAATATATAAATAATAACAGTACGAACAAGTAGATAAAGAATGGAAATTTGAATAAATAAAAAGAGTGAATAACTACATTTCTTCATCACAAGATGTTCCAGGTATACCTCTACACAAACAACCTCTCAAATATACCGTCCGCGTATATACACAAACATTTATATCATGACGCTTCATCATTAACAATCAGTTTCCAAAATCCACAGCTGCAAGGTTCAAAGCAACGCTCAGCAAAAACACTGTATTTGCTACTTCTGCCAAGATCTTCAAGACAGCTACCATAGCTCAGGATCCAGCCATTTTATCATTGTATTATTGTCATCAATATCAGAACCACAGCCATCATCACAAGTGAAATACTGAACTTAAAATCATTCGAGGTGACAGGATTCACCTACCTTACAATCTGACAGGTACTGCCAAACATTACAATGCATAATTTACTTCTTTAAAAACATTCCTCTCCACTATGTGGTCTGCTGATTAGAGGTAGATGCTATCATAAAGCATTTGTTCAACTCAAGTGGTTTACTTTTAATAGTATCACACATTCAGATTTACCATTGTAATCTGTGACAGGAAGTAGGAAAATTCCAGCTCATGAAGTAATCAGCTAGATTAATATTACCTTTGACAAAAAATACATAAATTATGTGATTATTAATAAATACACAGGTCAGGCTAAGGTGTAGTGTATTGGCAGGTGTCTGCCAGACACAAGCGAAGTATACTCATACTCAGCCATGATTCTTGTAGAGTGTGTGAGTTTAGTTTAACCGCCGTGATGTTGCTGGAATATTGCTAAAAGCGGCGTAAAACCAAACTCAGTCAGTTTAGTTTAATGCCACTTTTAGCAGCATTCCAGCAATATCATGGCGGGGGACACCAGAACTGGGCTTCACACATTGTACCTATGTGAGGAATCGAACCTGGATCTTCAGCATGACGAGCAAACGCTTTAACCACCTGATTCTTGTAGAAGAAGTTTTGTGGATTGACAGTTTCTTTATTGCAACAGATCTAACATATCGGTGTAGATGCTAACACAATCATCATAACTTGCTTGACAAAGGTGATAACATGTTCATCAAAACGTCGCATCTGTTACAATCAAGACGCTGTCAATCCATAAGACTCATCATATAACCTTCTAAAAGCCATTTACAAACATTCTGATTCTTGTAGCTGTGGATTCCAGGAACAGAGTCTGTAGCTTAGGAACACCATCACTGAATCATTTCTTCACACCGACCGTAAACTGATGAATACTACACAAGTACACAACAGTATTGTTCAGTACTAATGGACATGACAGGATTGATGATTGTACTTAACTAACCCGTAAAAGTCCAACTGACAAACGTGCACATTTAAACAAGACACAAGTGGAGATAAATCACACTAACATCAGAAATTAAAATCACAAACAGCTACTGGAACATCTATCTTGACACAAACTACCTCAAAAGTTGTGGAGACTCCTTATAGAATATACACTGTTTAGCAATAGGAAATTCACGAAGAAATCAGTACTTTTGCCAGTTACATTCATAATAATGTAACATAAACATATAATAACTAGTCCATTTTCTGGATCAAGGCAAGAATCCTTAATATGTTGTATAAGTCTAGTGTTGGTTATATGTCTGTACATTAAGCAGACTGTTTCCATGAATAATACCCAAATAAAAACTTTCATAAACGATAACATACATATTACACAAAATATTAAGACACAAGGTCAGTGTCTAGTTATCAATAATTAACTTCTTTAAGTGGCACTTTAGAAGTGGGAAGTACAATATATTCATAGGAAGTTATCCATAAGGTTTGTCGATATAATAATTAGTGGTGTGACGATTCATCGATACGCATCGATGCATCGATCCATGGGCCGCCGATACAGTGAATCGATACAAAGTTTTACATTGTCGTATATCCCGATACTATACTTCTAATGGGCCACGATACATTGATGTTTTACTTTGAATATTGTCGAATCACAATTTTTCCCTTCATAAGTTTCTCGGAAATTCTTGCGTTAGGAACTGTGTCAAACATAGCGCGCTCGTATTTTATTACCATTCACAAAGTCCGTGTATAAACTTAATTACCTCATTTCCGAATGAACATTGAAAAACGCTGGCGGAATTTGACGAAACACTTTAAAATAGTTTTGTTTTTATCTTAAGGTGTTAGAATAAAAGATTTTAGTATCGTGATACGTATCGTATCGCCACCCTTGTATCGGGATTCGTATCGTATCGCAGCTTAAGTGCACAATACTTTGGCAATAAATCGTCGTGACTAAAATTTTAGTATCGTGATGTATCGTATCGCAGGTTGTATGCCAACACCAGCACTAATAATAATGCTATTTTTCTACATCAGGACAGTTAGTTCCGAATAAATAGTAGAATTTTTCAGTAATATTAGATTAGCATATAATTTCTCAACAAAATTTTATGCAAGTTGTTACAGGTATCTTTTCATAAAATTATCATAACAAACACACAGTTAAGAAACAAATTATTATTTTATCCGAACATATTTTCATTATTTCATATTAATCATACTTTATTCACAATCTTTAAATATGTACATACACTAAAAGACACTCAACATAAATCAAAAACATCTTTGTTAAATATATAATTGTTCCAAAATTTATACACACAAAGAACAAATAAACCTGTAAATAACAAAAACAGTAAGTTTTCATTGTTAGTTGTAAAATTGCATCGTCATCAAGTTTGTGGTCCCTAGAGAGTGACCCACGAAACACTATTCGGACACTATATCCACCACCTCAGTCAGATACTTCAATATCCAGATAATGAAAGAAGCCCACGAATTCAGATTAACCAGAATCTTGACACTGGGTGAAATTCTTTGTTGGAAAACATGCACAGGTGAAAGAATTTATATGTGGATCAAATGTAAGTGTACTGTTGAAAAGCTTGCCATCTGTCTAGTGAAGATTTTGTGAATAGTTGCCAACAGAAGTTGTAAGTTAAAACTACATGTCAGTACTACTGTCAGGCAAAGAGCTGTAGTGATTCACTGAAGATCAGATGCATCACATTGTGCTGGTGAGGTCAAGTATTAGGTTATGAGGTCATAGAGTGATTCACATAACTTGGTCTGGCATGTTTGCTGATCATGTGGTAATATTCCAGGGGCTCCTTTCACGACGCAACCTTTACTAAGGTTAACCTTAACTCCCATTCTTTAACATTGCACTAAGGTTACCTTAGTGACTTACGATCACCTTAGTGTTTTGTGAAAGGAGGCCCTGATCTATGACATTGTTGTCAGGGCTCAATTTAAGAAAAGAAACTCTACCTGCACATTGTGCAACCTTAGGTTATAACCTTGTTGCACAAGACAAAAACACGTTGCAAATGATGCACTGGGCCCCGTTGCACTTAGCGCTATGGCTACCATAAGCCTATGTTAAAGTAGGGGACTTACGATGACCTAAGCTCTGCAATTATTTTGTGCAGTACTGACTGGAAATAGGTACCTGTGAATAGTCTGCCTGATAATATAACACTTACTGTGAAAGGTTTGGTGTTTCATGTGTCTACTGAGATACAATTGACAATACGACAAGTCAATCACTTCAGCCTTGTCCTGACAGCTACCAAAGCTATTTGCATATGGACACAGATGTGAGTCCCCACAGATGTGAGTCCTGACAGATTTGAGTCCACACAGGCGTGAGGCCCACAGATTTGAGTCAGATTTGAGTCCACACAGACGTGAGTCCACAGATGTGAGTCCCCACAGATGTGAGTCCATACAGAGTCCAGTACACACAGACGTGAGTCCCGACAGATGTGAGTCCCCACAGATGTGAGTCCCCATAGATGTGAGTCCATACAGATTTGAGTCCACACAGACGTGAGTCCACACAGATGTGAGTCCACACAGACGTGAGTCCCAACAGATGTGAGTCCACACGCACAGCAGTATCAGACAGGAGACAGTTAGTAAAAGTCTTTTAAGACAGTATCATTAAGATAGAAGAAATGTGTGAAGAATTAAACTTGACACAAGCTTCAAGTACAATTATGTGCTATTTCTGAGGATCAAAAAGTGACACAGAAAAATATTAACAGTAAGATGGTGCTTCAGTCAATGAATGAAGACTATCAGTAAGAGATTATTGCACAAAAACTTAAGATTGTTCTTGGTGGGACCGAACTTACATGAAATAAAAAACATACTAAAACTACTGAGGAACTGGTGAGTGCTAGTACAAGGACTTGTTGCATAATCACCACCATTGTATTGTCTCTGAGAAATATCTGTCGAGATGGACCAAATATACAACTCTGGAACTACAGACCATAACTGGGTCAGAGGCACCTCATAGGCTTGCGTCTCAAAGTGAACTTAGCTGTACGAATGTCATACCAACAATACTTCAACGAACCCTTAGTTAACACTTAAGAGCTGTAGTGCTACCACTTTGTCACATTGAACCAAGGTTATGTGAGCCCAGAGCAATGTCCACCATCACTGTCTTGTTCTGAAGTACAGGTATCATATTATGTGAGATGTAGTACCAGGATTTGGTAAGTTGAAGCCCCAAAACAACAGTTTAAGACTAGTTCTTTCTGTACAAAAACCTGCAGTCAACTCTCACATTAAGTGGCAAGGGATTGACTACATTAGACATTTAACTTCTTCATGGGCTGGTCTTCTACAGGTCAGAAGACAAACGTCACGACTTCAACAGCCACTCTGACCAGAGCAGCACAATTTACACAGAAATTGAGATCAAGTGAAATATTACAAGTGTCTTGTGATCTTTCTGCTTCAAATAACTGGGAATCAATTATAAAAGAAATATTTAGTTCACCCCTGCCAATAATTTGGATGCCCTATCAACACCATCAATTCAAGGAATTTTTCAATTGAAATAAGTCTTTCTTGAAACATTTGTAGTTTGTTTACAGACTTTGAAAATAGATCAGTGCTAAACATACCAATGTTTAAAAAGCACAGCTGTTTCAGTGTGAGTATTGGATATTAACAAAATGAAATCTTAGTAACTTTGTTATAAAAAGCTTGTGCAGAGGGCCCATAATAAGTTATTGAAGATCATGATCTAAAGATGGCAGACATGTTTAACAAAGAGATGTAAATATTATTGACCCTGTGTTACCAATTACTTGTTGTGATGACCTGTGATCTCTTCACTCATCTGCATCTCGTTGACTGCATCTATTCATTCTTTACACCGTGTTTGAAGACAGCATCCACAAACTGAGCGAACCAGCGATACATATAGGTTTTGTGGCGAGGGAACCAGCCCTCTAGAAATCCAATATGGCCACCACAGGATGGAACAACAATTGCAATGTTGTCGTTTTTCTCAGCATCCTTCAGTGGAATAGCTGAAATTGAAGAATAATCATCTGAAGCAGAGAAGAACTGATTGTGAGTGAGTGAGTGGGTTTAGTTTTACACCGCACTCAGCAATATTCCAGCTATATTGCGGCCGTCAGTAAATATTTGCACCTGGACCAGATAATCAAGTGATCAACAACATGAGCATTAATCAACACAACTGGCATAGATTGACAAGTGTCAATCAAGTCAGCGAGCCTGACCACCCGATCCGATTAGTCACCTCTTATGACAAGCATGGGTTACTGAAGATCAATTCTAACCCGGATTTCATGTGTCACAGGTTGTGAGTGAGGTAGAGAGTGAGTTGGATTTTACACCACTTAGCAATATCCCAGCAATATCAAGGCGGGAACTACCAGAAATGGGCTTCTCATTGTACCCATGTAGGGAAACAAACCTGGGTCTTTGGCATGAAGAGCAACTGTTTTAACCACTCAGTTACCCCACCACCCCAAGTGAGGTAGTGAGTTAGGTAATCAGTGAGGTAGTGAGTTAGGTAATCAGTGAGGTAGTTAATGAGTGAGGTAGTGGAGGTAATCAGTGAGGTGTGAGTGAGGTAGAGTGGGTGCTATGTAGCGTGAGTAGAGGTGAGGTAGTGGTGGTGGTGGTGGAATTGGGTTTAACGTCGTGCTTGAGAATATTTCGCTCATATGACGACGTGCATGCGTGTGTATGTGTATGTGCGGCTGCTTGTACTAGCCCAGACTGAAGCTGGTTTTATAGTGCTAGCCCACTGAGATACCATGCCGCAGTGAAGCATGAATACTCCACTCAGACACATTATACTGACTCCGAGCCGACCAGTCGTTGTTGTACCCATTAATGCCGAGCGCCAGGCAGGGACCAACAAGTACCACATTTTAACGTCTTTTGGTATGATGCGGTCGGGGATCGAACCCGTGACCTTCCGCTCTCCGGGCGGACGCTCTAACCACTACACCACGGAGGCGGTGAGTGAGGTAGTGAGGAAGGTAGTGTTTGTGTTTAAATGCCGCAGTCGGCATGAAAGCAGGTCTGTACATAATCCAGTCGTGCAATCCAGTGATTGACATCATGAGCATTGATGTACACATCTGGGGTACGCTGAGACACATCCACCAAGTCAGGAAGCCTGATAACATATTTGCCAGAAGTTCGCCTCTTATAACAAGGAGAGTCGCCTCTTATGACAAGTCGAGATCTTCCCTGGCCAAGTGCGGGAGAATAATGAGAGAGGGAGTGAATGAATATGGTTTATGACTTTTTTTGGAAGTATTACAGTTATAAGAAGACGTGGCAGCATGATGTGGACATGCATGTTATGCCAAGATGCCAAGTCAGCAGGACTGACCACCAAATCACGCAAGTCGCCTCATTCAACAAGCATGACTTGTGGAAGACCCATATCTTTTCAGGTTTTGTGTGGAAGGAGAGCCCCAAGTGAAGGAAGTTGTACGGTGTGTACGGACATCACTGTACGATGGACATGGACCACACACATGCCTCCTACTGGTTTGTTTGTTGTTCCAGCTATTTGAAGGCGGTCAGTAATGAGTCTGGACCAGACAATCAAGTGATTCACATCATGTTGGTCTATCCTCACAACTGGTTACAATTATGTGCATCAATCAACTCAGTGAACTGACCAGCTGACCCCATTAGTTGCCTCATTCAACAAGCATGAGTTGCTGAAGCTCCAGATCCTGCCTGGCAGGTGTGGAAGGGAAGCCCCTAGTGCAGAAAGTGGTACTGTACTGACAGGTGATAAATCAAAATAATCAAAATCCGAGATTCAAACCCATGAAGAACAGATTCTGCTGCATCAAAGGGATGAAATCTGCACATGAAAGTAGCAGATATATTGGTACTGACTGTGAAAGGGAGCAAAGGGATCATCAGCAGCGCTAAGACACAGGACGGGAACTTTGAGGGCGTGGACTTTGTCATGGAGGGAGGCTTGCTTGTAGTAATCATCCACAGACTTGAACCCAAAAACCTTGGCCGTGAAGCGCTCGTCAAAGTCTCGGATTGTGTTGCTCTGGAAAATGACATGACAACATTACTGCCTCATCAGATACATACAAACATGAGTTTTACGTGACGCCCAAATGCACATCCAGTACAGACTAATGTAGAGAATGGATGCTGAAAGCGCCAAATACCACGTCAGGAGAGACACACAAAAATACCGAGAACAAACCTGCAACGCATCGAGAGTTGTTATTTCACCCATCAGTCATGACCACTGTGCACATGATAACTGATTCAATCCAGGCTCTGAAGTAAATATCTGATCTACAACACCATTTCAGCAATATAGAACACACTTTATGGATAACAACTTCTTTTTATTAGTGAGTGCGACGTTGTTATCCATAAAGTGTGTTCTATATTGTACTTCCCAACTTCTAAATGCCACTCAAAGAAGTTACCATTTCAGCACTTTACTGGGCCCTCAAATTACCAGGAAGGACCCGTAAACATTTATTGATGGGGATCCACTTTTATAAGCCAAGGTAAAAACCCTGACACAGGCTCTAACCTTCTCGGAATCTCCACAGGTTGAATTACTACCTCAATATTTTACACATCTTGTGATACACATTGGCATGAGGAGCTCATGTGAAGGAGTGGTGACTGTCGACAAACTCTAGGCATCTTGCTCCAACAAACAAACTTACTTCATGGCAACCAGTTTGTAATTAGTCCTGTCACAGAAAAACTATTTTGGGTACAATGATGCATAATCAGCCATTTACACAACACTCTAGCCTATAATTGGGGCTCATGTTCAAGACATGGGTTACCTCCCTTTATCAGCTCACCTTCAGAACGTGTTCCATGTCGTAGTGCTTCTCAAACAGCTTCATATTCCTGCAATGAATATGCATCTACATTCAAGACACTTCAATAATATAACATAGTGAAGTCTACTCTGTGAAGCAGCAAACAGAGATACACTTAATGGCATATAGTTGTTGTTAATATATTTACACATACACATAAAAGTTACACAGACAAGTTAATTGGTGAGATTACAAAAGATCTATTCTAATGATTCTATTCTGGGCTTTGAATGATGAAACATTTTGAGCTCTACAGCTGAACATTCATTTCTTAAAAATGAAATTTAACCTTTTATAGATATAACAGTAAACCAACAATCTAAGCTAACATTTTCACTTTCAGTCTTGGGGTTATTTTTCAAAGATTAAAATAAAGAGTGCTGGAGCAACAACAGAAATCCCCATAAATTGTAGTATCATCTTGACAGTGTTGAAGTGAACTAACTGGCAAAACCAAGACAAAGTTTTGTACAAGTTCATGGAATCAAACCTGGGGTTTTAGAGAGATGATTGGTTGGATTATTGTTTCATGCCGCACTCAGCAATATTAGAACTATATGGCTGCGGTCTTTAAATAATCGGTTCTGGACCAGACGATCCAGTGATCAACAGCATGAGTATCGATCTACCCATTTGGGATATGATGACATGTGTCAACCAAGTCAGCGAGTCTGACCACCCGATCCGGTTAGTCGGCTCTTACGACAAGCATGGGTTGCTGAAGATCAATTCTAACTCGGATCTTCAAGGGTCTTCAGAGATGAGAAAACACTTCAGCCAGTGAACTATCGTCCAATAATGTTACTATAATACCAAGACTGATATTCCTGACTGGTAAACTCCACACAGTAAAGAGTATGAGTAACACAACCAAGCGTGGGCTTACTTCTTGACAGTGTCAGTGAGGAGTCTTGCGAGACGCTTGTTGAACAGGAAACAGTTCAGTGGCTGTTCCAGAGACAATGTGGACTCGAACACATTCCATGCCACTGACACACACATCCCCGCGATGAGACGGGCATCCTTCCCCAGCTTGGCCAGGTAGTTGAACAGGATCATTCTGCAAGTAATGGAGGACTACATGTCAGTGTAAGTCGTGGTTCTTGTCTCAGTGTGCCTCTTGTTACTCATGATTATGTTAATGCAGAGCTCCAGATAAGATTTAGCTCATGTGGGTACTGTACCCACTGTATTTTTTTGGAGTGGGTATTATGAATGTTGAGTGGGTTTGTCATTTTCCGTTACCCACTGCTTTCAAATATGTGCGTATTTCAGTCACTTTACTCACCTAAGTATTACGTCATTGAGTAAGTTTACTAAGCAGGTATGTTCTGCCTTATGTCATACCTAATCAAAACCAACTTAAATATAATGGAAATTATTTCATAAAAAATCACTCATCCTATACTGACATTACAACACTTGTCCTATACTAACAGTACAACTTGATAGCAATCGATGTCTGTTTCCATTACACAAAGCGATTTTTATAAATATATTCGAGTTTTTCAGTGCGCATTTGTTTTAAACTTTTATGTATCTAACATTTTAAATGTGTAATTGGTACGCCACAATTATTTTTCAATGCTGCATCTATGATTTTTTTACCCGGATATCGCAGCTTATCTGAGCCTCTGTTATCTAAGTCAGAGAATTTAGTCTTATACAGCTTTTTAGTAATATTCCAGCACATTATGGTGGGCTTACAATTCAGAAATGGGCTTCAAGACATTGTACTCATTTGGGGCGTGATCGAACCCAGGTCTTCGGCATGACGAGTGAATGCTTTAACCACTAGGCTGCCCCCCACCCCCATCATGTTAAGGAAATGTGACTTACTGACAAAAGGGAGATGAGACTTATGGAGCTCATATAGGAAAGTGGGTGAATGATTATGGTTTTAGCAACATCACGGCAGGGGGACACCAGAAACAGGCTTCCCACATTGTACCCAGATGGGGATTGGAACCTGGGTCTTAAGCATGAGAAGTGATCCTTTAACCACTAGGCTACCTGACTGTCCCTTGATAAGAATGTGAATATTTGTGTGTGGGAAAGATTGGCTGCAATATTACTCAACACGTTTTATTCACTTTGCTTCAAATTAGTGAATAACTAACACATACATACATACCCACACAGTGAGATCTCAATCCCCATGACACTGTTCTCCCCCACATACATACCCACCCAGTGAGATACCGACCCCATGACACTGTTCTCCCCCACATACATACCCGCCCAGTGAGATACGGACCCCATGACACTGTTCTCCCCCACATACATACCCACCCAGTGAGATCCCCGGGATCCCATGACACTGTTCTCCCCACATACATACCCACCCAGTGAGATCCCGGACCCCATGACACTGTTCTCCCCCACATACATACCCACCCAGTGAGATCCCAATCCCATGACACTGTTCTCCCCACATACATACCCACCCAGTGAGATCCTGACCCCCATGACACTGTTCTCCCCCACATACATACCCACCCAGTGAGATCCCGATCCCATGACACTGTTCTCCCCCACATACATACCCACCCAGTGAGATCCTGACCCCATGACACTGTTCTCCCAACATACATACCCACCCAGTGAGATCTCAATCCCCATGACACTGTTCTCCCCCACTTACATACCCACCCAGTGAGATCCCGATCCCATGACACTGTTCTCCCAACATACATACCCACCCAGTGAGATCCCGATCCCATGACACTGTTCTCCCTACATACATACCCACCCAGTGAGATCCCGACCCCCATGACACTGTTCTCCCCACATACATACCCACCCAGTGAGATCCCGATCCCATGACACTGTTCTCCCCCACATACATACCCACCCAGTGAGATCCCATCCCATGACACTGTTCTCCCCCACATACATACCCACCCAGTGAGATCCCTATCCCATGACACTGTTCTCCCCACATACATACCCACCCAGTGAGATCCCCGATCCCATGACACTGTTCTCCCCACATACATACCTCCCCAGTGAGATCCCCGACCCCCATGACACTGTTCTCCCCACATACATACCCACCCAGTGAGATCCCGACCCCATGACACTGTTCTCCCCACATACATACCCACCCAGTGAGATCCCGATCCCCATGACACTGTTCTCCCCACATACATACCCACCCAGTGAGATCCCGACCCCATGACACTGTTCTCCCCCACATACATACCCGCCCAGCGAGATTCCGACCCCCATGACGGGGGCATCAGGGTGTGTGATCTTGATGTGGCTGACCACCAGCTCTATGTCCTCTGTGTCAGCTGCGCAGTATGTCCGTGGCGTCTGTCACAAAGGTCAGTGGTATTAGTGGGTGAGAAGCACAATGACTTGTAAATGCTTATATAATTAACCCCATTTTCATGTCCTCTGAGCATTTTATCAAACATCTCCTTTGCTTACACATGTACTGTAGTGTGCCTGAAACATTGTGATGTGTTAAATGATGCAGTGTTGGTGTCACCCCAATTGATTGATTGATTGATTGATTGATTGATTGACAGACAAGGAACAAGACTGGCAGGGAGCTGGGATTTAAACAGTGTACCAGGGCACACCCTACACCGCTGAACCACCTGTATTACCTCACATGATCCCAGGGACAGATATGTATTTTTGGGGGGAGTGTGCCAGAGGACCCCCAACAAACATATTTAGTTGAACCTTAGTTGAAGCCAAGCAGAAAATCAACTTTGACCTTCATAGAAATTTGGCGAATATACATTTTGAGATACCAACATGTATCATGTAGATGATAAGCAGTAACACATCCCCTTTAGCTTACACTGAGAAATATAAGATGTATTTTGTGAACCATACACTGTGCATTAGTGGTGGTCCGATTAATTGAAATAATCGAAGATTGGTCGCAGTCACTAAACGACCAAGCAGTCGATCATGTTTTCTCATAATCGAACATAAACAATTCTGGAACACTTGTTTGCATTAACAATAATTTTCACAAGGTTGGTTTTGTCTGTTACATTTCATGACCACTACAAGCTCGTTCCAAGTCATGATTGAATTTATCTTCAAGACTCCAAGAAATTAATGTTCCTAACCTACTAGTCATCCTTTAAAGATGTGAAATTTGCAAATGCATTTTGTGTAATTTGCAAAAAACACCAAAGAACTACGTTTTTTTTCTGTATTTTTTTGTCCATTAACAAAAATAATCTGGAAAATTTCATAAATGATGCTTACCAATTATTTTCGATGATTGGTAGGTTGTAATGAACCAATCATCAATTATGAGATTTTTACCAATTCCCAGCACTACTGTGCATCAAGCATGTTAGCATGCGCACCAGTTTCCATATGTCATTTCCCATTATTTCAGGACTACCATAATAAAATCAGGTACAGGACACAGGTCCAGCAAACTTTCAAAATCTACTTGACCAAATATTAATTTCACTTGACCACAATTAACAATTTGGTTTCTTTTGCAAATAATTGTTATCAATTATAAATAACAGACGATTGCATTTTTATTTCACCATCAAAATAGATACATCAAAAATTTTCAGTAGTTTGGCAGTACTGTACCTGTGTAAAGTTTAATGCGGATATTTATTTGAGTGACCGGAGAATTTCATTCAACCCGGGCGTCGGGAAATGGTATTTTTCAACACCTGAGCAAGGTATAACTATCTCAAAGTTTCATTTCTAAGTGTGCTTTAAGGCACAGGGAACCATGTCATCTTCAATAATGTACATGGACTTCCAAAGACTGACTCACAGCAGTGTGTATATACTTACCAGTAACTGTGCACCTCCATTGCCTCGGTTATTGAACACCACACACCTATAAGTAAACAGCATCAATATTGTCAATCTAGCATGGTAATCATACAGCATATTCCCACTGTTCTTAAAAGCATCATGAGGGTTCCCGAGCACCAGACAGTCCTTTCATGAAGTTATCCTTGCACTAGGATTGTCATAAAGGTGTCATTTTAAAACAGACTGAAGCTATAAAGTATATATTTTAGCCATCTTAGTGCTAAATTATCGTTAGTTTCTGATGAAAGTTCAGACAGGGCCAGGCCTGTTCTTGGAGATTACATCAGGAAAGACAGCAGACAACAGATGGCATGTGGACAAAACAGGTCGGCTTAATATGTCTGCTGTAGCATTTCTCACTACAAAACTGAGTGGTTTCCACTTGTACTTTCAAAATGCAAACAACAGACCCTAGAAAACCTGCCTCAAACACTGTATTTACGAACCTGACACATGCATAACAGCTGATAGCAAACAATCATTCCATTCAAAATGTTATGCAAGAAACACCAGCAAAACAATTGCATGCTGTCCCTATGACCATGACCTTTTCTTATCACAGGCTGTGAATACAAAAAGAAAGTGGGAGTGATCTCCCCTTGACTTTAAGTACTCAGAGGTACAGATAAGCTGTGTATCTGCATAAATTACGCAAATATTTATGTGAAAACTCAATTCCTAATAAGTCTATTGCGTACAAGTACGCTTGAATTTTTGTAAATACTCAATAAATTTGATCTTACATGTGTACTCACAAAAATGTGATAGAGATTACCGAGGACAGACAAAATAACTGAGGTATATTGAGAGATTCTATTTCCGTACATGAACTTGGCAACTTGCAGTCTTTCTTACTGTTTTTCATATGACAGATCAAATACAAATGGGACCGTTCATAATTTATGGCTAGGGGGGTGATGATGATTTTAACTTTGGGTGGGTGGGTGGGGTGGGGTCCCCAACCATTTTGTTCTGGGGAACTAGGGGTTCATCAATTTTGTACACATGTACTAGGTGTGTTTCAGCAATTTTGTACATAAAAATATGTTTAATATTATAGCTTAAAATTATTATTTGGGGGGTAAAATTGATTTTGTACATGACATGTGGGGGCGGGCTGTCACTTACTTTGTACATAAATTTTAGGGGTCATTCATTGTACATGCATGTACAATGTGAATGACCCCCAAAATTTATGTACAATGTGAATGACCCCCAAAATTTATGTACCCCCAAAGTTTATGTACAAAGTAAGTGACAGCCATTATGTCATGTACAAAATCAATTTCCCCCTTCCCATAATTTTTAAGCTATGATATTAAACATATTTTTATGTACAAAATTGCTGACACCCCACCCTTTATTCTTTGTGCATTAACAAACATAACCAGGAAAATTTGATAAATGACGCTAACCAATTATTTTCGATGATTGATCGGTTGTAATGAACCAATCATCAATTATGAGATTTTAACCAATTCCAAACACTATTGGATACCCACCTGTAGCCAAGGTCAATGGCATCATGCACCATGTGGAGGATATATGGCTCATTGCTGCTTCCTGAAATTATATATCAGGGATCAAAATAGTAGTCAGTTTGTGTGCCATGGCATGGAAAATAAAAATGGCACGGATGAAATATTTTCAATGTGCCCTGGTGTCATGACTTCTGTTATTAAAACAAGACTCGCTATGATTAATTTATTGGAAAATGTGATATATCTGACCAACTCAGAGGAATCAAAACATATTTTATATCCTATCGAACTGTTTTAGTGTTTATCAGTGGCACTCTCACAGTTTAACATGGGTGTGGCAAGTTTTAATGCCACTGCACATAACAGGAAATCCTGTATTTGCTGATAACATAGTTCCTGAGTTAGTTCCTGGGTCCAGGACAAATGAAGCTGAGCTATTCTTGCAGTCATGACAGTACTGTAAAGTCCTGAATTATCTGTACAGTGTCCTGTGTCACACATTGAAAAAATTGCATATCGATCAAAACTCTATCGATATTTAGTTTTGAAAGTATCAGTTTAAATATGTTTATGTATCATTTACATTTTGCAATTGTATCATGTTTTTTTATGTTATGAGAGTTATAAATGATTATTTTTCATGCACAAAGATGGGAAATTAGAACTTTATAATCTCTGAGAATAAAAAAGGTTGATCTTTTCATGGACAATTATAAAACATGAAATACTAATGTTCAAAATGTAACTAAATTTATGCAATAATGCCGCGAATAATAGGTATCGTGATACATATCGAATCGTGACATGGGTATCGTGATACGTATCGATTCATGAAACTTATGTATCGTGACATCCCTACTGTACACCATAGTCTATGTCACTTATCACTATCACTGTAAGGGTGTATTGTCGTCCCAGTGTCGTCCCAGTGGAATAGAAATACCATAAACAAACACCTTAATAGAAAACATGCCATTAATGATTTGGCTGACTGGAACGTCATTAAACAAGGTAAATAACATCAAACAGTATATTTGTCTGAACAGTCTCTGTTTGAGTGGCATTCTAGAAGTTGGTGGTATAGAGATGACAAAACTGTATGGATGATCGACTTCTTTAATTTCACAACAGCGACGTTTCGGTATAGATTCTTATACAGACAGATATACTTGAAAACGGCATAAGAATCTATACTGAAATGTCACTGTTGTGAAAATAAAGAAGTCGATCATCCATAAAGTCTTGTCGTCTCTGAACAGTCTCTCCTTGATGCCTTTAAAAAAGAATATATAACTTCAAAGTTCCAAAAGTGACTGATCACAATAATTAAATTGCTATAGTCTGCCAACTCAAGCATATAAAATAGTGTGTGAGTGAATTAGGTGTAAGCAGCTTTTAGCAATGTTCTAGCAATATCACAGTGGGAGACACCAGACATGACACAAAATGTATTCAGTAAATACATCTACATGGATTAATAGTGCACCCAACTGACTGGGCCACATGTACACCCTGCTGTCATCATCATCATCCCATAGAGATGGATTTGTTACCTGTTAATCCAGGTAGAATGAGGACGGTTGGTCGGAGGTTGTCGTCATAGCGATGGTCCCCAGTATTCTCCGCCCAGTCCAGTTTGATCTGTCCTCCATCAGGGGTGTCAATGATCTCACTGAAACAGATGAATATAACCACTCAACCATTTCAGTATTTTCACCTTTAATGCATGTCTGAATAGCAGTTCAAGTCACCTTGGTCGCAGTCTCACACATAAAACTTTTGATGAGCAATGACCCTTTTCCTGACATGTGCATTCGCAACAAGAGCAGGGAAAGAATATGGTCGAATAATCAGAAAACATTTATTCACCCATGGGAAAATGTTCTGCTACACTGCAGAATTCCTTGAAGTTAATGTTAGGGGCACAATGGCAAAACTTCAATAAGGGGTCATTTATTATAGGGAGCGTTGGGCTGACTGACTGACTGACTGAGTTTAGTTTTACGCCGCTTTTAGCAATATTCCAGCAATATCACGGCGGGGGACACCAGAAATGGGCTTCACACATTGTGCCCATGTGGGGAATCGAACCCGGATCTTCGGCGTGACGAGCCAACGCTTTAACCACTAGGCTACCCCGCCGCCCCAGGGAGCGTTGGGACTGGTGGTATCCCCTTTTGCCGGCCCGCTCACCCCATTTCATGCAACAATAAGTTATGAATAATGAGTATAATGCATGAACAGACCCTAAATAATGTTCAAATTTATAACATTTTAAAAAAGTAGAACACTACAGAAAACAACTTCCATTTAACAGTATGATCTCTAACAGCATGTCAGACTGACAAATATGGCATAAACCATCACAAACGGTTGTGATGGTAACTAGGAAGAAATAAAAATGTCACTGAGGAACAATAAACAATAAAGAAACGCGACTAAGACCTCTGCTGAAACTTTCTGTTTCTCCTGAGGCTCCACCACTCAAGACACATGCACAAGCTGATCATATATTGTAGTTTGTAGTGTTGGGAATTGGTTGAAATCTCACAATTGATGATTGCTTCATTACCAACGAACAACCATCGGTTAGCGTCATTTTTCAGAGTTTCCTATCCAGGTTGTTATTGCAGGGTGCCGTTCCACTAACCGATCTTATCTAAGATCAATCTTAGCAAGTTACGCCAATTTTACAATCGTCTTAGCTAAAAGTGAAACCTGTTCCACTAACCGATCTTAGGCCGATCGTAGCCGGTCCCGATCTTACGATCCGATCCAAGCTTAGACCGAGACTCTTTCGTGCGAGAGGCACATTGTTTTTAAGGAATGGAGAGTTACGAGGATATTACCCTACTTAAATTACATTCAAAGTATTGGGAATATTTCTGTTATCAAAGTTATATGTCAAAATGACAAAATGAAGTCTTTAATTTGAAGCTGGTACACATCGCTCCATTCCTGAAAAGTAATGGAGCGAGCAGACAATGGAATGACGTCACAAATGTAATTTAAGTAGAGGGTAATGTCCGAGTAACTCTCCATTCCTTAAAAATAATGGAGCCGAGGCCCCGGAGGGGCCGAGGCACATTATTTTTAAGGAATGGAGAGTTACGAGGATATTACCCTACTTAAATTACATTCGAAGTATTGGGAATATTTCTGTTATCAAAATTAAATGTCAAAATGACAAAATGAAGGTTTTATTTTGAAACTGGTACACATCGCTCCATTCCTGAAAAGTAATGGAGCGAACAGACAATGGAATGACGTCACAAATGTAATTTAATCTTGAATCACACGCGGCTTGCCTTTAGAATCCCCCACCAAATATGCGCAGTGAAATCAAACATATTTGTATCTTTTTGCTTCAGAACATTGTTCACTTCACTGCTGTCTTTATTCTTAACCATGACGTTGCAATATTGTTGTACAAATGTGTCACACCGACTCGCTCGGTTGTGTTCCCATGACGACAGTGGTCAGACTGGCCTGACATTTGTAAGGCTTCAGTGCAGTGTTTGTTTACATCACAGAAATATACAAATTCATTTCATGGGGGATTTTAGGGGACGCTCACGGTGAAATGCTCGCTCTTATTTTTCACATAGAATAGGAAAGCCACCATTTTGGTTTCTCTACGATTGATTTTAGCTATCCTAAGTTGGTCATGAGCAACTTAGAGTTTGAATCTTAACTTTACGATTGACTTAGGTAAGATTGGTTAGTGGAACGGTATGCCGATCGTAACGTCACGCTAAGATTGGGATTTTAGGGGTTTACGATTGGCATAGGGCTAAGATCGGTTAGTGGAACGGCACCCAGATATGTATAACATGATGCAACTTGCTACTTTAAAGTGATGACTTATATATCATGAACATAAACTTTCTGGAGTCTTCAAGAAATATTCAGTCATTGCTTTTTAGTTAGTGAAGTAAGTTTTCTATGAATTAAACATTTTCAGGCACTGACAACTTCAATGATATGTTCCATTGTCAAGTAACTCAAAGACTGAAAAAGCAGTTCAAAAATCGTTTATGTTCGATTATGAGAAAATGTGATCGATTGCTTGGTCGTTTGGTCAATGCGACCAATCTTCGATTATTTCAATTAATCGGAACACCACTAGTAGTTTGGTATCTCCATTGTATGATAATGTTGAGTTGTTGATACAATATGTCAACTGGGCTATGTTCCATAGGTTGACAACAGTTATCAAGCCTGACCTTTGTATACCTTGTCCAGATATGAAATATCACCAAATGGATGTAAATATTGTTCTGAATCAGGAATAGGCAATGTTGCTTAAATACAAGTGAGACAAAATTAATGTTACTTGCAGAAAGTTTAGCATCTAACTTTCACATTTCAGAAGGACCAAAACATCCATGTTATCTAACCTACACTTAAATAGAGGCGGCGTGGTGGGTGAGCTGTCAAAGGCGCCAGGCTGGTGATCAAGCGTGTTTAAGGTGCCGGGATCGGGTGTAAAAACCTTGGAGTCAACTGTTTGTGCATACTCTTTCAGCGTTGTAACAACCCCTAGTGTACAGTACACAACCCTGTGCACTTAAAAGAACCAACGAATCCGTTGGTACATGACCAGATGGTGGCGATGTGAATACGTGCAAACACCTAGTTGCAGGTACAGCAACGTGCAGTAAAATTTGGACAAAGTACTGTGACAATGTGTCCCAGTCCACCCAGCTGTGAATGGGTACCTCGGAAGGATGGGAAAGCCACCTTAACTTGGTGTGCCTAGTGGCTGCAAGAGTTGTATGCTCCCCAGGGAGTTGAGATTGAAAATATGATGTGCCATTGAGATGGACATCCAATGATCAAGGGAAAACAAAGCGCTCTGAGCTTGCATGTAGATGTGATGGACTATAGCGCTGTATAAATATAATGATAATAATAATAAATAAACATCATACCTGTTGTATGTGAGAGGGGGTGAGGACTGGAGGATGGCACGGAAGATTGTCTGGAGCCTGGACTCGGAACACCACCATGTTGGCCAGTACTTCTCAGATATAACCGGGCAGTGATTCTTCAGAAACTTTAAAAACCGTTGATCCTGGCAAGCTATTAAAGGTTTCTGTAACAGGTAGAGTGAGTGAGTGAGTTTAGTTTTACGCCACTTTTAGCAATATTCCAGCAATATCACAGCAGGGGACACCAGAAATGGGCTTCACACATTGCACCCATGTGGGAAATTGAACTCGGGTCTTCGATGAGACGAGCGAAAGCTTTAACCACTAGCCTACCCCACCAACCCGTAACAGGTAGAAGTCATAAGTTCTAAAACATGATGTGTTGGTCAGCAAGGAAATGCACTCAGCAGTCTAAGTAAACTTAGGCTGAGTATTATTCGTTACACTGCTATACTGAGCCTAACAAACCCTAGTAGAAGGTTGCGTCAGCTAACCTTTTGGACTGACCTTTTGACAGAACACAGCTTACCAAATCGCAAAAGTTAACATTCGCACATACCATTTGAACTTATACCTAAAAAACTCGAACCATTCTGAATGCTATTTCCGAGTGATACACATGGAGGACGCAATGAGTAAACAGTCGCTGAAAATAGCGTTTTTGTCAATATTCAAGGATGTCATCTTGCGGAAATATAAGCTAATAGTAACCATGTCATTAGAAACCCCTAAGCATATATACTGCAGATCATATATCTGTGTTTTATGGGGATTTTCGTTTGTTGATAGATCAGTGTCAGCGACCAGTGAAGAGAAAATCCAGAAAACCGTTTTGTAAGTCCTGCCGAACCCTAACACGTAGTCGTTGTCTGATTGGTTAAAACCATTCGGCCATCTCGCGTTTGATTGGACGGTCATAGGTCGCTCAAGGGTTAGCTGACGCGACCTTCTACTAGGGTTTGTTAGATTTAGTATAGCACTATTAGCAGTGTAACGAATAATACTGAGCCTAAGTTTACTTAGACTGCAAGAAAATGCTGCTAAATGCAAAAAATGTCCCTGCTATTTGGAAATTTATAAGCATAGCATATTCTTGTACAAACATAAAACTACATAATTTTTCTATCGCATCAGCACTCTTCCTGGCTATCGATTTTGGTCATCAATGCATCTGAACTGAGGACTAAAATTTTAAATACCTGCCTGTATGGTGCATGGTGTACGTGAATGTGTGCAGTTTACAATTGTCCTATAAAATACAACGTGACTTGACGATCTGACAATCTGAAATCAGAGGCAGTAATGCCATGTTGCAATCTGCTATAGAAACAAACCTCTATACTTGTGATCAATAATTGACATAATCAGCAGAGCTGGCTGAATAGATTGATAATTGGAAATATCGTCGATAGGAAAAATTAGTAATGATTATTATTGATAGGAAAACAGTGTCATTGATAATATTGGATATAAATTTCTGTAATAAAATAAAGTTTTAATTTACTCACCGAATACACAAAGTTAAGTTTTTATTCATGGGCTGCTTCTAAATTATGTTCAGGATGCTGTTTTGCAAGTAACCCATGCATAAACATGTTACGAACCGACCAGTGGTATGAAATATACTTTTTCAGACCTTTATGGGCATTCTTGTTCAAAGTTACATCTCCGATACTTATTGATAAACGAGTATTGATCTCTATAAGCTACATCAAAAGCCAGCCCTAATCATCAGTCAATCAATGATGAATAGATATTCTAAGATATATACTGAAAAGTAATTAAAAAAAATATATGACATGACTTCAAGCAGTTCACAGTAGGGCTGCAACGAATACACTATGTGGCGAATATGATACGTATCACGAATATTGGGTAACGAATACGAATAATTATTCACGAATATAATATTGTAGTTAAGTGATTGATGCACAATATTGATTGCCCATGTTGACAGTGTTAATTTGTCACAGCAATAACCAGTCATCTCATGACACTCAAATTTGGTATGTAATAGTTATAGTTGACAGCACCATGTGCGGCCTTGGCAAACTCACATGACTTGCACTACTACAAGGCTAGTACATATTGCATTCTTACATATCTCATTTTGAAAAAGGACATAAGGGTTCAAGTAAAACACACTCCCTTAAAAAAATTGTAAATATTCATGAATATTCGGTTCTGGTGACCACGAATAATGAATTGAATTCATGAAGGACTACGGTTCGATTCAACGAATATGCGAGTGAATCGTAACAGCCTTAGTTCATAGAAACTTTACCAAGACCCTGCACTTAACAACTGCAGCAACACTCACTTAACAAGGTGATTTTGGATCAAAACATATTAAAAAGTATTGATCAGTTCTATAATTTAGCCATGCTGTAAACTACTGGCTGTGAACACATGGCCATCAAGCAACTTCATCAATTGTTACTGAACTTCAGTCCATGGCTGCTATCATGCGTACTTCAAATTAAACCCAATCAACAATGTCCAACAATTATTCAAATGAGTGACAAACTTGTTAAATATTCATAAAATTGCACTTATAGTCCAACATGGAAGGTCTCTGTGTAAATGGGAGGAGGGTCATAATAAAACTGCATCAAATTGATCGTCATCAACAACAAGCCGAGCCCTACATACAAATGGTCTAAAACTCACCAAACGAGCAACACAAGGTGTGAGAGAGATACAATACAATACCAACAGCTGGGGTATAATGTGATCTTACTGGACCAGAAGAAATTTCACTTGACTCTGGCTCTGGTCCAGCGGCTAAGTTGCTGACTGATGTATCAATTGCTACGCCAGTTAACCATCTCTTGACATCACTACACTACCTACTGAACATTGGTTTGAAGGGCTATTGTCACGATTGTATCAAACCACAAACTATTTATCAGGCTGAATCTTAAAGGCACTATATCACACCACAGTTCTCTGAAAATATATAATGTATTTCTCTCAATAATACTAACTATCAGCCCCCAGTGAAGCTACCATATAATTTATTTAAAAAAGATTTCAATTACAATATTAAATTTAACACACTGACAACACTGCGTGCGACAGCTTTCAATTGTTAACATTCCATATATGGCAAGTGTTCTCTGTTTGGAAGCTGTTCGCCTCGAAGTTTCAATTATCAATTTCAGGCAAGTCGTAAGGGATAATAAGTATTTTATTGCAGCAATAGGAAGCTAAAGTAAGTGCATATGCCCCAATATATATAATATAGGCCAAAATATTGTCGAAAATGTGTGACATTGTGCCTTTAAAAACTCAGCAACATTCGCTCCTCAGCTGTTGATTGAAGATACTGATATGCACTGCACTCATGTGACACTTATCTGCTTGACCTGCCGTACAGACAGGACAACAAGGTTTTGTTTACTACCTTGAGTGATCCATATCAGTCAATAAAGTAGACACGTGACAGTGCACTCATGGATACAACAAGGTGTTTACAATATTTTCAACACTGTACTAGTCTGTTTATGTTTCAGAGGTACAGATAAGCTGCGTATCTGCGAAAATTGCTCAAAACTTATGTGAAAACTCAATTCTTATTAAGTCTAATTGTGTACAAGTTGTGAATTTTGTAAATACTCAATATATTAGATCTTACATGCGTACACACAAAAATGTCAAACCATAGCTTGCGTACAGGTGCATAGATAAACTAACAGGTATATTGAGAGGTTCTATTTCAACACATGAACAAGGCAATTTGCAGTCTTTCTTATCGTTTCTATATTACAGATCAAATATAAATAACATCTAAACATAATATTTTTACAATTAATGGAAAATGAAAAAATACCCAATTGAGTTTGAGTGAGGTGTGTACAATTTATTTGGTTACTCAAAGGAAAATTAGGACACCAAATTGAGATGAACAGAGATGAGTACATAACTCAATGACCCAAAATGTTATCTGTAGCTCTGATGTTTGAAAGACCGTCAAGAACTACATAGCATATGTCCTGTAGATGGAACTATGAATAAAATTCAGTTTCATAAGCAAAGTATTTGATACATGATTGACATTTTCACTCAAGACAATGAACACTCATCTTGGGCAAGAATAAATATTTTCCATAAGAAAGATCTGCCCAGTATTGGGTAGTACCTAACAGCAAGAGTTCCAGAACTTGAAAATATATTTCCAAACTACACTTGATACACAAGTAAATATAACATGCTATAAATTAACTCTTCAAGTAATACAAACTGTTTGTGGGAAATATAATTAACGGGCTTACGAATAGCCATGTTAGATTTACTTTCACAATTCCGTGGACTGGTGGGTGCTTTTGGCAAAAACCCTGCATTCCCTTTAATTATATTTTCTGATATACAGAGAATATATATAACTTGTGAATACGTTGTTTTGTAGCAAACAATGAATGCAACTGTTAAAAGTTAGGATATGCACTTTAAGTTAGGGTCGATCAGGAAATTGGAGCATAATGTATTTCCAAGGCTCTGTTAAAAACATAGAAAGGTCATACTAGCGGCATCAGTGTTTCAAATGAACGCCTGCACTTATATGCTCATGGCAGATAAATCTCATGTCAGGACCACAGTTTCAAATTGTACTGGTTCTTTTGGCTTGCAAAAAATTCATGTGTTGGTTTATTTGTCCCCAAAAGCTGCAATTTTTTTAGACATGCTTTTGGAAGAAGTTAGTCAAGGCCTCTGAAGTAATGGTAGCCTGGCAAATTGTTTTATTTCACACACTTAGTCAGCCCAAATAATATCGCCTGATAAAACAGAAATTGTTATTCAGCATGGTTGCCACACTCCGGCGCAGTGATGACTTAACATAACATCACTGCCACAGGCTAATTTGCATATCACGTGACCGGACTTTTCTCTTGTTTGTAATCAAACGCGCATATTCATGATAAGAAGAGACTGGACTCACGAAAGCTCTTCGGCGCTCTTTTCATAATGTTTTACATTGTTACATATATATTCTTCCACAACTGCAACAGTTAGGTCTATTACAGTACATATTTAGATATCAAACTGGCTGCATCGTTTGCTCTCCGTCGGCCTCGATGACAGCACGTGGAGCCGTACAACCTATGTAAACAAAGGATTGCTACGCAAATCGAAATAGTGTTTCATGTTTTTGGATATTTTCTCAGTGAAACTAATTCATTCTATTAAAGATGTTTAGTTAGATGTGTAGACTCGTCAAAAATAAAAGAGTAAAAGAAATCTGTACATTATATTGAATGGACGGTGCAAGATGTGACGAATCGTCACATTTTCCTGGCCTGTGGCAGAGGTACTATGCTGGCTTGCCGCAGGGAACTCTGGGTAGGAGAGTGCATGGTTGCAATTCAATTTGAAACAAAACAACTGTACGCCTATCCTTTGTTCAAATGTCAAACTGTCAACTAAATAATGTTGACTGGTAACTCCTTGTCATATCTTATGACATATGGTCTCTAAAAACTTCTAATAAAGATACATATTCAAGTAAGAAACTTGTCCATGTGCTTGAGCCCACATTGCCCAGTGGCAGTTCTATGAACTCACAGCCCAGAATATAAGATGTTCCTGGGTTTTACCTTGCCCTTAGCTAAGAGTCAAGAGGCCCCCAATTACTTATTTTAAGGGTCCTTACCGAACATTTGAATGAGTTTAGTTTCACGCCGCACTCAGCAAAATTCCAGCTATATGGCGGCGGTCTGTAAATAATCGAGTCTGGACCAGACAATCCAGTGATCGACAGCATGAGTATCGATCTGCACAAGTGGGAACTGATGACATGTGTCAACCACGTCAGCGAGCCTGACCACCCGATCCCGTTAGTCGCCTCTTATGACAAGCATGGGTTACTGAAGATCAATATTCTAACCCGGACCTTCACTGGTCCCGAACATTTGAAGGTACTCCTGTAAAGTAATGAAATAGTGTAGCGTAATGTGCTTTCAGATGTAATTATTATATAATATAACTTTTTATTTCTTCTTGAGAATTTAGTGCAATTATATTATGACTACGAATCCCTTTTTCTGCATCCGTTAAATGTTTATGATACTGGGCACATATTTCTGCATTGCATGAAAGCTGATGCTGGTTTTGTTTAGTCTATGTAAAGTGTCCAGCTACAAATGAGCTGGTTTGTCCATGTCAATAAACAATCGCTTTTTGGCTTGGCTTTACACAGCGATTTTAGGACTCTTGATATTGGACTTTGGACTTCAAAATGGCAATCTACATTCTTAATACAAATGGGACATCCTTCCTGAATTGGTTATTACATCAAGCTTAACAAAGTAAAAACGTTTAAAATCATACTCCACTCAAATAAAAAGAGTCCAAATTATGTGTCACCATTTTGAAACATTCTTGGGACAGCTTAAGACGTACGTGGATAACATTGCAAAATATTAAGAGATTTCTTCAATGTTTAATTGGCACACAAAACTTGTCAGAGAGATCATACTTGAAGGTGGCTTAGGATGTCTTAAAAACTGTGGCTCTCAACAAAATTTTAATGTTGCACAAATGCTGCTGATACTGACTGTCCAGTCCAGATGATTAGGTCTTTGAAATGATGGTGTGATGAATTTAGAAGCGGCATTGAATGAAATATATCATATGACTGGCCTATAACCGTCTTACATCATTATATGAACATTAGTTTAAAAACAGAAAATATATGGACGAGAGGGAGAAATTGATCCAAAAGCTCGGACGGCAGGTTTGCTATCTCGCATTACCTATTCAATTAAAGTTGCAGGGCCTGTCTGACCGAGGCTAGGCCGTTATGATGAAATTCAAATGACTTGCTAAATAGGATCAGCTGAATTTCCTCTTTGGTTACACTAACATTCACAATGCCATTAATCACAGCAAAATTCTAATCATGTGAGTTCCACTAGTACCCTGTACAAGTCCAAATATTACTTCCATCATCTCAACTTTGGCAGATCAGTTGCTAGGCTAACTCGGGGGTTACACCCGATCGGTAAAATGAAGTTCTGACAAATTGATGGCGCATCATGAATGCGGAAAAAACGAAAAGTATTCACCTTGACAATTCGAGAGATGTAGTAGACGAAATAAACTCCTCCACAGGCTGCTAGGAGTGAAGCAGATGGGTTATCACGAAAGATAGTAAGCATTTTACAGGCTTTAGTTCTTCTGACCTGTCCGACAGTCCTAACCCCTGCCACTTCTCTCGGCGAGGGCGGTGCAGGTTACTGTGTTCCCCGTTAAATAATATTCCAATTCAACGGTCCCGTTAGAATCTAAGTGTAGTATGTTATGACACTGGCAATATTCTCGTGACCCAAAGCCACTGGATTACATCTGCTGGTGAGATTAAGTCCTTTGTTAGGAACTGAGTCGCTTTCTTATTCATCAAATCATGACACGCCTACTTTTCATCGGGAACTATTTTAACCGATGACCGGTTCGTCTGCTATTTTAGTTTCACATTATGGGTATTTTCCATTATCTTCACATTTTCAATAGATGACCATTTAATAAAAAATCGCGCTTATCTTAAGTCCTTAGAGTAGAACATAAAGTGGGTATGAGTAAATGTGCCCAAAAGATAAATTCACATATTCAGCTGCACTTGCAAATATATGTGAACGGCATATATTATAGTAATGTACCTGTTTGGTACAGAATGGACTCGTCCGTATTGGGGAGCCCAAAAGAGGGAATGATATCTGTTACGCAAACGTAGTTAACAAATGTTGCAAATTTCTACAATGATCAATGTCAATCTTTCACTATCTAAAACTATGTATAGGACTTATTCACCAAAGAATATTTCTTTTTAAGATATTCATGTAGAATGATTATACATCATGTGTCGTACATTATTATATAAATATATTATTATACACAAAGGACAATTTCCCAAAATATATACATATTATATCATCCAGGCCTCATTCAAATCTCGTCATTAAAACACACCCAAAACAAGAAAAAACATTAATGCACTTTGACGGTAAAAGGCCATCGATCGTGCAGTCGGTACAACTCGGGGAATCTCGGAAAAACTAGCTAGTCCAGATCGCACGTTCCGATTGTAACTATTTCAAGATGGCTGCGCTGTTTGGAACTTCGACGAGTGGCCGTACTCAGAGTAAAAATCTGGTTGAATTTCGGGCCGGTAAAATGTACATGAAAGAAAAGATGGTTCATCCAGATAAGAGGAAGGGTCAAGTATATGTGTATCAATCTGATGATTCTCTTATGCACTTCTGTTGGAAAGATCGTACATCCGGCAATGTGGAAGATGTAAGCAAATTATTATACTTTCCACATAACTCATTCGATGTATTATGTTTACAGATTGAAAGTATATATAAACTCTGTGAAATATTAACTGTTTGTTCACTTGATCACAGATTCAATGATTCATAGAAATATGTAATTAAATTTCAACTCCAGTAATTACATTTTTTCACCTCATGCAGGCACGACGTTGAAAATCATGTGTAAAACTCTTAAAATGTTGCATGGTAGATAGTACAATACGGTGACCACGGTGGCAAACTCCATCACAGCGCGTAGCGTTGTTGTAGTGCTGAGAAGAGGTATCGAGATCATGCTGTAGGGAGCTCGATAGTTCAAAATTGCCGTATCATGCCACCCAAACTGTTTTAGTTTCTAATGGTGTCAATTCTTTTTGTAACAATTATGTAGATCAAAACTATGTGTAAATCAAATTACCATGATAAACTTAAGAAGTTCAAAATGGTTCGTAGGGTTCAACTAGAACAGACTTGGGAGGTGTTTAGTTGAAAGTTAGAGTTATCTGTAAAAGAGCAGCAAAAAATATAAAAGTCCCTGTGAAAACAAGACAAAATCTAAAAGATAAAACCATTTGGATGGCCACGTTCCTCAAGGAGCAGAGGCTGACATGAATATTGTGGAAAACAGCTTTACAATCCCTCTACTGACAGTTATTTGTACATCATAATAATCCCAATTGCTCATATTGTTGATCACTGGATTGTCTGGTCCAGATTCAATTATTTACAGACTGCTGCCATACAGCTGGGATATTTCTGTGTGTTGTGTAAACAACAAAGAAACAAAATTATCTGTAATAGCACTAAGTCTCAGAAGCTGTCTGGCACGGGTTCTGGGTTTTGGATAAAGTTATGACAATCAACATCAAAAAACATTTTGTCAAAAAACGAATTTATGAAACACAACTGTCTTTATAAAGACATTGAATGAATCATGTCAGAATGCACATGTAAAAACTCCAAATCATCATCAACATCAACATGTGCTCTGAGAATTTCATGTCGAGGCTATACTTACAACTATGTATGAAAGAACTGCTAAAGAAAATTATAATGACAATAATATGGTGCACTTGAACATAATCCACAAAAAGTAGCAATTTTTAGGCAAGCTTTAGCACTGGCTGTGCTTTACCTTACATGTAAGCAATATTGAGTCATGCTTGCAATTCAAAGATGACAGTATCTGTGAATATTTCAGAATGGTATGACATTGTGTCAGTTCGACCTGTAATGGGATAGACAAAAATAGACTTGAGTACAATTTTGTCATCCTTATTGAAATTATTTAGGTTTTGAATAATTAAGGGGATCCCTAAATGCTGCTTGATTTAAGTACCAAAGCAGTAAACGCTCTCCTGTATTTTATAGAACTACTCTTTTCAACCTTATCTCCGTGAGCGTTATACATTAAAATCTGATTTTAACAGCATTTGTATGAGATCTAATGTTATTTTCTTCTATGGTATTTATGTAGATGTCAAATTATTGATTACATTTATTGTCTCGTGTCACACAACTTGTTACTGAATACATGTAACTCCATTACCGTCATTGTAGAAGGTTTTAGTTTGCTGTCCTTATTAGTTATTAAGCTTGTGGTCATAAGGCTCCCTGTAGCTGAGGTCTATATTTCCAAATGAAGTACATGTTAGTTCATTACATAGTCTGTCATACTCCTGAATATGCATAATAAGCTGTGGGCACACAAATGAAGGCAATTTGACAATCCTTTGTTACTTGTGGAGATGTTTATGTCATTTGAGTAGACAGATGCACTGATAATGAGGCTCCATCTCCTCATCATCTTCCTTGGTCCGATGTAATTAGGTGCTTTGTTGTATGTTCCATTAACAGTCCAACATGTCGTTTACTGACATGGGTAGTAGGGCTGTTATGATTCACACGAGTATTCAGCAAAAACAACTGTATCCCATCTTGAATTCAGTTAGAATCAAACATTCATGAATATTTTTAAAAGAAATAGTTTTACTTGAATTTGGGTGTTATATATCAAAACTATGCAATATGGAATATATCCAAGCCAGGTTGGAAACTAATCAACACTCTGTTACCTGTATATAACTTATTTGACAGTGATGTGGTCACTGGTCATTGTCGTGATAAATTAATATTCACTTTATTGTGGATCCATTGCAGCCAAATCTGGCAGTACCCTCTCTTTTTGCATATTTGCCTGTTCAATTCTAGTGGTTGACCAACATTCAGTTCAAAAAGCTTTTGTCACCATAAGGCTCTACCTGCCCAAACTTCCTGTCTTTTGTTGCCATTTTTGGTACCAGGGTTAGAAATGCACCTATTTTCCACCTTCTTACTTGGTGATTGTCATCTCATGAGCTAAATACTACTTAGGCAGTGACTGCCTCCGTGGTGTAGTGGTTAGAGCGTCCGCCCGCGGAGAGCGGAATGTCGCGGGTTCGATTCCCGACCGCGTCATACCAAAAGACGTTAAAATATGGTACTTGTTGGTCCCTGCCTGGCGCTCTGCATTAATGGGTACAACAAGGACTGGTCGTTCGGAGTCAGTATAATGTGTCTGAGTGGGGTATTCATGCTTCACTGCGGCATTGTATCTCAGTGGGCTAGCACTGTTAAACCAGCTTCAGTCTGGGCTAGTACAAGCAGCCGCACCTACACATACACGCGCATGCACGTCGTCATATGAGCGAAATATTCTCAAGCACGACATAAAACCCAATTTCACTTCACCTCACTTAGGCAGTTGTGATTTAGATAGTTTGCCACTACCTTTTTCTTGATTGATGAGACCCTTTTGAGCTTATTAATTGATTTATTTATAAGGCTTTGTTTTCACCCTTGAATAATAGGATTTATGTGACTTCTTGTCACCCGCATCTTGTTTTGTTCTATTTATGAACTTCAGTTCGTTCAGTTATGTTTCAAATTGCTTCTAAATGCATAATTTGGAATTGCACAATATATTGTGATATGTGCTGCAATACAGACTTGTGTATTGCAAAATATAGTTATAGTTGTACACTTTGAACCTCCCATGCCCATCCATAATGTTTTTCTACCCGTGCAGATCCAGGTTAGAATTGGTCTTCAGTAACCCATGCTTGTTGTTAAAGGCAACAAACGGGATAGGGTGGTCAGACTCGCTGACTTGGTTGACACATGTCATCATGTCCTAATTGCGTAAATCGATACTCATGCTGTTGATCAATGGATTGTCTGGTCAAGACTTGACTATGTACAGACCGCCCCTATATAGCTGGAATATTGCTGAGTGGGGCGTTATACAACCAACCAACCGTAATGTTTTTTTCAAAACTGACTTATTATCCCCTGGGGATATAGGCGACACCTCGTCTATCTGTAATAATTTTGTTTCCGGAGCATAACTCAAAACCCGTTCAGTATTTTTCAACAAAAATTGGTAGATATATGAAACAAAACCTAAAGTGGTACCTTTTGCTATTTGCAGTTTTTGTAATTTTTATTATCTTTCCAGCATTTACTCCGGGGGGATATAGTCGACACCTTGTCTGTCCATCCGTCCGTCCGTAATCATTTTGTTTCCGGAGCATAACTCGAAAACCGTTCAATATTTTTCAACAGAAATTGGTAGATATATCAAACAGAACCTAAACTGGTGCCTGTTGCTATTTACAGATTTTTTTCATTTTTCTTTTTCTTTGTTTCAATGGAAACGATTTGAACTAAGTCTCAAAAGGTAGGGGTGACCTTCGTTTCCGGAGCACAACTCGAAAACCGTTCAATATTTTGCTTCAAGACTTGATAGATATATCACACATAAGCTAAAGTGGTGCCTTTTGCAGATTTTTGTCATTATTATTTTTCTTGGTTTCCATGGAAACGTTTTGGACTTAGTGTCAAAAGAGACTGGTTGGGTTTCGTTTCTGGATCACAACTCGAAAAGAGTTCAATATCTTTCTGCAAGACTTGACAGATATATCAAACAGATCTTGAAGTAGTGCCTTTTGCTATTTGCAGATTTTTGGCATTTATATTTTTCATGATTTCCATGGAAACAATTTGGACTTAGTCCAAAGAAATCAAGTTGGACTTAAAGTAACTGTGTGTTGATTTGCTCTTTCAAACTTATGGAGGCCGGGGGATTTGTCATCTTCTGATGACTCTTGTATTAACTTGTCATTTGCTGCTGACTTCAACCCAGTATTGGCCTCTGAGCAGTTCGAAATAAATCCATGAATGTTGTTTAATTAAAGTGCAGGATTTGTATTCAGCTGCCCATTCCTTGTGTTACAGGACCTTATCATCTTCCCTGATGACATTGAGTTCAAGCATGTCCCACAGTGCACTACTGGCCGTGTCTATGTCCTCAAGTTCAAGTCGTCGACTCGCAAGATGATCTTCTGGATGCAGGTATGATCTTTTTAGTGACAGCATGTTTATCTAGAAGTTATAGGCACCTCAAATACTTTGTTGAGTTCTGTCCCTTTGCTAAACAGGATTGAGCTCTTTATGTGTTTGAATCCTAGGTCAGGGTATACCCCTGTCTATGGTTGCATTGAGGTTGTTTATTACCATTTATTACATTAATAATATAATATTTTTATATTATATTATAATCTTATCGTTGATGTTTGTGGCTGTTATGATTCACGTGTTCAGTGAATCGAACCGTATCCATTCATCATGTTCATGAATTCAGTTTGTTATTCGCAATCACTACAAAATGAATATTCATGATTAGTTTAAAAAGAACCATACCTCACTCATCTGAAACCTGCAACTATTTCAGTTTGTGGCCATTGTGTTGTTATACTAGTTTACAGGCTATGGGATAGCCTGTAAGTTAAAACTTCCACTTGTCACACCGAAGACCCGGGTTCGATTCCCCACATAGGTACCATATCTGAAGCCCATTTCTGGTTTCCCATGCTGGAATATTCCTAAAACGGCATAAATAAACTCCCTCACTCTCCCAAGCTTGTTAAGATGCTGATCAACGGCCTTTCATATCTTCGCTCCTCTTATCTTTAATGTGTTCTGCTGCAGGAGCCTAAGAGTGATAAGGATGAGGAACACTGCAAGAAGGTCAATGAGTATCTCAACAATCCTCCCACCCCTGGATCATCCCGTGGAGCTGGAGGCAGTGGCTTGCCTTCAGAGCTCTCAGGCCTTGGTGAGTCATTCAACAATTCATCAGTCTAAAGGGGCGGTGGGTTAGCGTAGTGGTTAAAGCGTTCGTTCATCACGGCGAAGACCCGGGTTCGATTCCCCACATGGGTACACCCTGTCGTGATATAGCTGGAATATTTCTAAAAGCGGGTGTAAAACTAAACTCACTCACTCATCAGTCTAAGTAAACTTAGTCTCAGTATTTTTCGTTACACTGCTATACTGATTCTAGCAAAACCTAGTAGAAGGTCGCGTGAGATAATCTTTGAGCGACATATGACCGTCCAATCAAACTTGGGCACAATGTGTTAAGCCCATTTCTGGTGTGATTGCTGGAATATTGCTAAATATTGCTAAAAGCGGCGTAAAACTAAACTCAGTCAGTCAGTCAGTCCAATCAAACTTGAGACGACCAAACGGATTTATCCAATCAGACGACGGCTACTATTTAGGGTTCAGCGGGATCTACAGAACAGTTTTTGGATTTTCTCTTCCCCGGTCGCAGACACTGATCTCTCAACAAACGAAAATCAGCATAAAACACAGATATTTGACCTGCAATATATACACTTAGGGGTGTCTGATGACATGATTACTATTAGCTTAATATATTTCCGCAAGATGACATCCTGGAATATTGAGAAAAACGCTATTTTCAGCGACTGTTTACTAGTTTTTGTGAATAATGCGTCATCCATGTGTAACACTCGGAAGCGATCATGCGGAAAATAGCATTCAGAATTGTTCGAGTATTCGAGGTAAAAGTTCAAACAGTATGTGCGAATGTTAACTTTTCGCGATTTGATAAGCTGTATTCTGATTGGTCAGTTCAGTGTTTCCGTTCTCCTGTATATACCTGAAAATCATCGGTAAAAGTTGTTGGGGACCGGTAAATTGAAAGCCAGACGGACACTGTGTCCAGTAAATAATCATGTATTAAAATAAAAAAATCATGGGTAAGCGAAATCACTGTCTTGGCTGTGCTTTCATGGTCGCAAACATTGTTATGTTTCGGAAATACCCAGGCTAAAATTAACTTTAAAATAAGTACTTACAGTATGGTAATAGGATATGACCGGCAAATTTCATTCATGACCGGTAAAATTTGAGGTTGCCAGACACAGTGTCCGATGAATAATTTAGTCAGCGGAAACACTGCAGTTAAAAAGGTTAGCTGACATGACCACCTACTAGGGTTCGTTAGACTCAGTTTAGCAGTGTAACAAATAATACTGAGCCTAAGTTTACTAAGACTGACAATTCGTAGATGTGGTTTCAGATTTGTTGGAAGGTGTCCTTGCATATTAGTTGCCTTAAATTGCTGTTTGGATTCAGCACTCACAGCTTTCAAGTGCCTTGTACATCATGCTTGCATGGCAACAGAAGGTTGTGTTTAACAAAGACAAATTGTTCCCTTACAAAGATTTAGTAAATACAATGTATGTACGGTCAATTTCAGTTATCTCAAACACCATTTTCTTGATTGAACAACTATTTTTCAACCTCTTCTTCTGTCTTAACTGCCTTACTATAAATTTATGTGATTTGGTGGTCAGGTTCGCTGACTTGATTGACAGATGTCATCGTATCCCAATAGCGTAGATTGCTTCGCAGGATTTTCATCACTGGATTGCCTGGTCCAGACTTGATTATGTACAGATTGCCACCATATAGCTGAAACATTGCTGAGTGCGGCGTTAAACTTTCAAACAATCCAATCCAATCAGTGGTGTCTGTGGCTTTGAATTACTGAAACTGATTTGGGTAAATTGTTACGTTTTTCTAGACCATATGTTATTTCTTTTTCAGCTAATCAGGTGAATTCTTTCTGTTTACAGGTGAGCAGGACCTGCAAAGTATTCTGGGAGGAATGAGCCAGCAACAACTGATGCAGCTCTTGGGTAAGTCTTTGAATCTTACAAGGTTTAAGACGAGAGATTCTAAGGGTAATTTGTTTCCTATCTGTGTAGAATGACTCTTGCATACAATGATGGACAATGTTGCTACAATAAAGCACAACAGTATTGTAACAAATTCTGTGTATCAATCTACAACAGTATGATGACAAGGTCTGTGTTTCACTGTACAACAGTATTGTGACAAGGTCCATGTTTCACTGTACAACAGTATTGTGACAAGGTCTGTGTTTCACTGTACAACAGTATTGTGACAAGGTCCGTGTTTCACTGTACAACAGTATTGTGACGAGGTCCGTGTTTCACTGTACAACAGTATTGTGACAAGGTCTGTGTTTCACTGTACAACAGTATTGTGACAAGGTCTGTGTTTCACTGTACAACAGTATCGTGACAAGGTCTGTGTTTCACTGTACAACAGTATTGTGACATGGTCCGTGTTTCACTGTACAACAGTATCGTGACAAGGTCCGTGTTTCACTGTACAACAGTATTGTGACAAGGTCCGTGTTTCACTGTACAACAGTATCGTGACAAGGTCTGTATTTAACTGTACAAGAGTATTGTGACATGGTCCGTGTTTCACTGTAGAACAGTATCGTGACAAGGTCTGTATTTCACTGTACAACAGTATTGTGACAAGGTGTGTGTTTCACTGTACAACAGTATCGTGACAAAGTCTGTGTTTCACTGTACAATAGTATTGTGACAAGGTCTGTGTTTCACTGTACAACAGTATTGTGACATAGTCGATGTTTAACTGTACAACAGTATTGTGACAAGGTGTTTCACTGTACAACAGTATTGTGACAAGGTGTTTCACTGTACAACAGTATTGTGACATGGTCTGTGTTTCACTGTACAACAGTATTGTGACAAGGTGTTTCACTGTACAACAGTATTGTGACAAGGTGTTTCACTGTACAACAGTATTGTGACAAGGTCGATGTTTAACTGTACAACAGTATTGTGACAAGGTGTTTCACTGTACAACAGTATTGTGACATGGTCCGTGTTTCACTGTACAACAGTATCGTGACAAGGTCTGTATTTAACTGTACAAGAGTATTGTGACATGGTCCGTGTTTCACTGTAAAACAGTATCGTGACAAGGTCTGTATTTCACTGTACAACAGTATCGTGACAAGGTGTGTGTTTCACTGTACAACAGTATCGTGACAAGGTCCGTGTTTCACTGTACATCGGTAGTGTGGTGATGTCTGTATTTCAGGTGGTGTTGGTGTTGGAGGCCCTGGCGGTGGCCTGCCATCGTTGATGGTGCGACCTGGTAGTGCTCAGTCAACTGTTTCAGAACCGTGAGTACAACTGAAACTGTTATTAATGTTTAAAAGTGTCCTCAACATCATCAGTTTTTCAGCTGTATACAACTTGGCTCCTTATAAGTAGTGAGGCTCACTAACTTTGTTTATGCATTTCAATCTATCCCATAGATTAACGCTTTTGATGTCTTTCACAAACTTGTCTCCTAAAGACTTTATTATTTATGGATAGATATTATCATTAAATTTGACATTAATCAACAAACAAATATTTAGTGAGTGAGTTTAGTTTTATGCCGCACACAGCAATATTCCAGCTATATGGTGGCGGTCTGTAAATAATAGAATCTGGACCAGACAATCCAGTGATCAACAGCATGAGCATCGATTTACGCATATGGGATACATCAACCAAGTCAGCAAGCCTGACCACCCAGTTCCGTTAGTTGCCTCTTGCCACATGCATGGGTTACGGAAGATCAATTTTAACCCGGATCTTCACAGGTCACAAACATTTAGAAATATTTTGACTGTTCCAGGCCAATGCGAGCTCAGTCCTCCAGCGGAAGTCGAAGTACAGCAACAGCGGACAGTGTGATGTCTCAGCCCCGCCCACTGACAGCAGCTGCCCTTCCTTCACAACCAGCTGGTAGTACTGCCACGCCCACCACACCCGCATCAACTGGGAGTGGAAGTAGCAGCAGTGGCGGAAGCGGCAGCAGCAGCAGCACCACAGCGTCTGCAAGCACCAGTGGGGGTGCAGGAAGACCACAGATACAGCTTAGTGATCTACAAAATATACTCTCAACCATGAACGGTATGTAGGAACGCGAGAGTGGAATTAGACACCAACAACCCATGATTGTCATTACTCACTATTAACAACCCACTGTAATATAGCTGGACTTATTTCTAAGTATGTTTTCAAGCAAGTCATAACCAGTTATCCTGTTTGAATATCATTTTAGTTATAAAATTTCTTTGAGTTATTATGATGCAGTTTTGGAATAGAAAACATTGCCAAAGATCATTATGCTATTCTGTTAACTATTCTATCTTAGGTTAGATATTGTTTTCGAAACACGGGAATACAGTAACCATATTTATATATATTTTCTTGTTTTTCAGTGCCAGCTTCACAAAAGGAAGGTATGTACAACATTCTGGATTATTCATACAAGGATATATTGTCAGCTATTCCTGAAGTTCTTCTGACTGTTTGTCTGAAATTATTTTATAAGGTTCTTTATGCTTTTGTTAATTGTTAGTGGAAGACAAGTGTTTCCTCAAAACACGTACTTGTAAATATCATTCTTAGCTGACTGACTATTTTCATCAATGTCATTGTATCCCAATTGTGTAGAATGATACTCATAAGGTCAATGACTGGATTGTCTTGTCTAGTTTCAATTAATATAGGCTGCTGTCATATATCTGCAGTAATTCTTAGGTTGCATAAGACAAAGATCAAACGTGACTGAAAGGCGTTATGTCTAAAATGTGTGAATATGGCGTCAGGAGTTGCCTCCCCTAGCCTTGCCAAGAATTGTTGGGAGAGCTAAAATCCTGATCCCACACTGATTGTCATCCACGATCTATAGCACTAAAGCCTTGGTAATGGGTTTCACCAGTCATCAGGGTCAACAAACCATGTCAGCGTTAGATGTTTTCCAGCATGATGCAAACATTCCATGATGTTAACTGAATGTTGTAAACACATTTCACAAATCAGATGTTAAAAGCCATCTCCATATACTTTTCTAAAAACCAGATGTTTGATCCTTGTACAGGGCTAGACCTTGCCCAGGCACTCAGTCCCGAGGTTATGATCCCCCTGTTGGCCAACCCAGACATCCAGAACAAGCTGGTGGAGTTTCTTCCAGAAGGAGAGTCCCTCCCCAAGACAGAGGCGGAACTTAAAAACACCATTCAGTCACCCCAGTTCAGTCAGGTAACTGAGCTTTCTTACTGACATGCTTACTCTGACAGTGTAGATATTTTCCGTTGTTAGTTAGACCATATAGTGACAATAGATCATATACATATCCAAAGGTGAGAGGGATACAAGGGATGGTGATGAAGATGGTTCATGACTTTCACACTTAGTTTAAGATTACATACTTCTATAATCACCTTCAGATACGGATCAGACTGAATCTGATTCCTATTTTGAAAGTGTTTGGTCAGTTAGAGCTTGTGCTTTGTTAAAGAATTAAAGTTATCCATGAACAGTATAATGTTGTCCTTGTGTGGTAATAATGTGTCATCAATGAAAGACATTGGTGAAATGAAACTGTGGCTTTGCTCATCAAAAAAGTGAAAGGTCAGGATGAAATTTAGATATGAAATTCATGTAACATATTGGAGAGATTTTTATTAAAAAAGGTTTTTATATTTCTATGACACTTAGTGTACATATATGTATTGTTGTGCCCTCGGCATGTAATGTCCGAGTGGTGCCTTTTGCTATTTGGCAGGTTTTTGGCAGATTTATTTTTCCTGGTTTCCATGGAAACGATTCGGACTTAGTCCCAAAAGGGAGGGGTGGGCTTCATTTCCGGAGCACAACTTGAAAAGCGTTCAATATCTTTCAGCAGAACTTGGCAGATATATTAGGCAAATTTTGAAATGGTGCCTTTTGCTATTTACAGATTTTGGCATTTAAATTACTCATGATTTCCATTGAAACGATTTGGACTAAAAAAAATCAAGCAGGACTTTAAGTAACTGTCAGATGATTTGTTCTTTCAAATTTGTGGGGCCGGGGGGATATGTCATCTTTTGATGACTCTTGTTACATCTGTGTGAATGTTTCAGGCCCTGACTTCCTTCAGTGCGGCCCTGCAGTCTGGTCAGTTGGGTCCGCTGATGACACAGTTTGGGCTTGGGGAGGATGTAGCCAATGCTGCAGCAGAGGGAGGTATGTCACCGAGATTAGCATCATGTACATCAAACATCATGGGGAGGGGCCTTTCAGATAGGAGAATGATATTGGAGCTGTTTATTGCATTTCATATTGAGACTGATACCCATTAGGCATCGTTGTTAAGACTTGTTAGCTACCTCCATCACCTGTGAATACATACTGTGAATTTATGGTATAGTAGTGACACTGTCTGTTTGTTCATTTAGTCAAGTAATGAAATACAGCTGTATAGAACTCTTCAGAGTTGAAACAACCGGACTGTGTTCAGGAGTTTTGTGAGAACCATTGCCTGAAATTGAAGTAATGTGTAGTGTATGCCATCACTGTGGCATATGTTGCAGGACATATTTGCCATTTGTGTGATGTAATCTCAGTGGTCATTGGTCTGAGCATTTCCTGGAACCAGGCAATTTGTTGGTTATAAAACTACATTGCCAGACGGTGTCCGGGAGATTTGATGATATGTTTCCAATATTTTTGCATGTTTAATCAGCAAATGCATTGACACTGTGGATACCTAATAACAGTAAAAGGGAAAGGTCTCCGGGCAGGGGTTATCCAGCTGTCTTAGGTGACATAATTTGCTGTCCACAGTTGTGTTCGGTAAACCTATCATTTGGAAACATTCCCATATGCAATGCAATCTGTGGATTTCCTTTGGCAATCAAACCCCTAAGGACAATGTCAGTCAACTTCATTTCCATAGGGGGCGGTGGGGTAGCCTAATGGTTAAAGCGTTGGCTCGTCACGCCGAAGACCCGGGTTCGATTCCCCACATGGGTACAATGTGTGAAGCCCATTTCTGGTGTCCCCCGCCGTGATGTTGCTGGAATATTGCTAAAAGCGGTGTAAAACCAAACTCAGTCAGTCAGTCAGTCATTTTCCAGAGCTACCTGACACCCGATTCTGATGTCAGTTGTTATGTATGATGTTGCAGACCTGGAAGCGTTTGTGAAGGCCATGCAAGAGGGGATGAAGAAGAAGGATAAGGATGATGACAAGGATAAGGACAAGGGGGAGGAGAAGATGGAGCAGTGATGAATCTTACCTAGCAAAACACAGTGCTACATATTTCATGTTGACTCCCTGCTTGTCAAAAGCTGTTTCTATTCTTTGACGTGATTTTGTTGATTTTCCACATCAAGCTGAAAATAATTCATAGCCATGTTGTAGGGCATGGTTATATGTAAAATCATCTGGTTTGGTTCTTATGTCAGGTCATTTCAAAACTTTAGTATTTGCTGTACCAAACTGTATGCAATGGTCATGAGCTGTCAAGCTATAGGCCACTAACTGGGTTGTTTACAGGATTCATTTCAAATAAAATACAGGATGATGTGGTTTAGAGCCAATAAAATGTATGAATATTTATTGTCTTGTTTTATACTTATTTGAAATTTTAACACATTTTGTCTCCTTTCACAAGTTTTTTTGACATTTGAATACACAATGCCTTTCAGAAAGTGTTCAAATGCAACTTATGTTAGATTTGGGATGACACAGTAAAGTGTGCAATTTAGTACTTTTTGAGTCCCATCCAGGATTCAAACGCACATGCACAGGATGAGGCCCCTAATCAGCAATCTGACCCACTCAGCCATGGCTGCTTCCACAGAAATGAGTCTAGATCACAGTTTTGTGTACCCTTCTGACAAGTGTACATTGACACAGCTTGCATTGCCAAAGCTATGAACCCACCAACAAAAACCCACAAAAAAGTACTAGAATATGTACTTTACTGAGCGTAATCCTCCAAATAGCATATGTTTCACTGACATTTGTCTTAATCCTGGACCTTACTTACATATTTGTGTCTATGCAGTACTATGCCGTTTGGACTCACAAGTAACTGGCGGTGGGGTAGCTTGTGGTTAAAGTGTTCGCTCGTCACGCTGAAGACCCGGTTTCGATTCCCCTAATGGGTACAATGTGTAGCCCATTTCTGGTGTCCCCTGCCGTGATATTGCTGGAATATTGCTAAAAGCGCGTAAAACCATACTCACCCCTCACCTCACCTCACCTCACCACAAGTAACAACCCATGTCATCAAGTACAAAAGAATGGCTGGAGTGAGTGAATGGGGTTTTTTCCAACTTGAAGAAACACAAGCTGGCAACAAGTCTGTGAATGTTTTACTTTGTGTTTGTTCTGCCAATGATGAAATGAACTTGGAAAATCTTGCTCATGTTTCTTGGAAAATACTTCCTGAAAATCTCCCTGGCTTTTGGACACATTTTAGGTTTATCCTTTTTCATACAGTTTCATGAGTTATTACAATGTAGTTGCTACTTTTAAATTTAGCATTTGTATTGTTGAAACTCCAAGATGTGATGTTTGGTATTCTTTATAGGACTACCATGGGGAAATAGAGACTTTTTAAAATATTTATAATCAATTATGGCCTAAATCAGTTCATTCACACACTTGGAAATGGCGGACTGCTGTTGTCAACGTCACACACTGGGAAATGCCAGACTGATGTCAACCAATAAAGGTTCAGAATGCAACATCCAAAATGGGATTTGGAAAAATCTATCTTCATTGAGATCATTTGTTAGGACATGGATTTCCAAATAGAGCAAAGCTACATCAGTGTCACAGTGTCGGTTGATACAGAAAACTGATTCTCTCATTTGGGCCCGTAAGTAGGTCACGGCACTTTGCGAGACCTTAGTACTCCCGGTGACAAACAACGTACACTTGGTCCGGTCTAGTAAAGTTATAAGAAAGAGTTCCTTCCGTTCCCCCAACCCTAAACTTAACTCTAAACCTAACCTTATCTTTTAGTCATTTTGTGAGTTCTCTAGTAATTGTGTTAAGTTATGTTAATAATTTTAGTATATTTACAAATATTATTTGGGATGTATTTGGCGGTCGCGCAATTTGGAACCAGAACTGGATCTAGAATATACGCTTGTCACCGGAAATCTGGTACCGGAAGTAAGCTGGGCCCCTCAAGTTGGCGCGCGCAAAGGGAGCCGGGAACACACTCTCCTACCCAGAGCTCCATGCGGCAAGCCAGCACATGATTTTCAACGTCGTGCCGGCATGAGGTGAAAAAATGTAATTACTGGAGTTGAAATTTAATTACATATTTCTATGAATCATTGAATCTGTGATCAAGTGAACAAACAGTTAATATTTCACAGAGTTTATATATACTTTCAATCTGTAAACATAATACATCGAATGAGTTATGTGGAAAGTATAATATGCTTACATCTTCCACATTGCCGGATGTACGATCTTTCCAACAGAAGTGCAAAAAATTGTTTTTGTTGCGATTAGACAGACACCCATACCAACATAGAAAATTGTAGCTCAGCACACTTTGAATAAAGGTTTGATAAAAAAAACTGTCATTACGGTTTTGCCAATGCCTTGACGATAATAATGTTCAGAATGAGAAATTAGGCCAGAAGCAGTGGCGTCATCTGCGAATTTCACAGTAAACAAGTCATTTATTGACAAGTAACAATCACTGGTATACAAAAGAAAAGTACGGATGAAGGAACACAGCCCTGTGGAGCTCCAGTAGACAATGAGAGAAAAGAAGATTGATAGCCATTGGCACTGACATACTGAGTTCTATGTACCCTGAATTCTTTAACCCATATGATAATGTTTTTATTAACACCTAGATAAAATAGTTTACCCCTCATAAGGTGTGGCTGTATGGTATTAGTTGTTACAAGTCTGCAGATGAGAGTAAATATTATGCATCGTGTGAGATTTCACTTCTTAAAATGATTAGGTAACTATCTTAATAGACATGGAGAACGTACGATAAAAAATCAAATGTATGGGTGTATCTTGTTTTGGACAGTGAAAAGAGAAAAAAAAACAAATGCCGCCTGTGCGGTATATCACTGCGTTACGATGAAAAAAAACATTTGGCAAGTAAACATCAAAATACTGATTCTGACCAACAGGAAATGTTAGTCACACGACGATATAGTCGGAATGATGTAAGTGTTCACTTTGTGACCGGAACACGTGATGCCGGTTACGTTATCGTTTGCTTGAAAGGTATGAATTTCGAGTACTTGGGTTCCGAGTCGAGTCTCGCTCCTCGAGTACTCGAGCCAAAGAAAATGGACTCGTTGAAGCCCTACTAGCCAACGTGTTCCGCCCTCAACTCTTAAGTACATTTCCACCAAGTCTTCCTTAACGGAGTATACACTTCCGTAAACAACGACGACATTAATTGCCAACGACGCAAATATATCATTAGCCATGGTTGTCATCTGAGGGCTACTCAGATGATCGCTAGCTCTGATCGTTGCCTCTCTTGATCATGGAATGTTGGTCCTGATGATTCATTCTCTCAGAGATTTAATCGAACTGTGATTCATGGATATAAGTTAACACTATTATAATTACGTCACCTGCACTTAAAACAATGGTTCAGACAAAGGACCAAACAATTAAATGGAAGACAGGTCCAGCTGATCAAATTTACCACACCACTGCAAAAGCAAGATAACAACTAAGTTCAGGTGGAGTTTATGAGTTGGGTAATACTAAACGATCGAGTAAATTCCGAGGTGATACACATCTCCACGGTAAAACCCAGTTATACGTGTATGGTACAGACAAACCTAAAATCTATGGGAGCAAACCGAACCCACTTTCATAGTTTTCTGGCGTGGTCAAGGGACGCAACTCTGCAGATTAATTAATAGCGACATGCAACTTATAGGAACTATATCACACTTCACTAAAAATAAATCATGTATTTCTCTAATAATACTAACTATCAGCCATAAGAGAACCTACCATATCATTTATTCAAAAACAAATGTATTTAGATTGCAATAATAAATTAAAAAGTTCGAATGAATTAATACAATGTTGCATAAAATCCACTCGCGCCCTCAACCGGCCGAACACTATTTTAAGCGAACCCCATAGAGTTATGTCCCTTGGAGCTCTCTTTTCAAATGATTGAAAACATTTCGGCAAACGCCGACAACACTGCGCGCGATAGTTTTGATATATTGAGCAATTGTTTTCATTCCATATATGGCAAGTGTTCTCTGTTTGGAAGCTGTTCGCCGCAAAGTTTCAGTTATCGATTTCAGGCAAGTCGTAAAGGATAATAAGTCTTTTATTGCATCAATAGGAAGCTATATACATGTATATAATATAGGCCAAAATATTGTCGAAAATGTGCCTTTAAAGATCAAATATACTCTAGGGGGGTACAAATACATAAATCATTAATTGGCATCGTTATAAATGAAACCCCGTCATTAAAACTACTCATTTCGATCTTTAATTAACTTAATTCGACCTTTTTGACCACAGTGCACAATTCTCACCCGCGAACGAAATTTCAACCAATCAGAGCGGGGCGTCTCTGTGACGTCATATGAGGAATAGATATCAGGGCCGCTGCAGAATTGATGTACATTTCAGGGGGTAAATTTTCTTGTTTACAGGTTTGTATAAACCTGAAATCGTGACAACTGTTGTGAAAAATGAAAGCTATATGTTCTCACAATCTACTGTCATTCAATTTTGTTTCCGAGTTACAACTTGTTTTCATAGACGATTCTGTCAAAATCGCTTGGAGTCGCTAGGCCTTATTTGTTCGAACCAGACGCTAGTGATAGCGAAAAGGATGATCAGCCTCGCTCATCACAGTTACGGTTAATTTCTTCAACCTAAACAGTGCGACATTAAGAAGGGTGGATGCCCATCAGATGCAGTTATTTGAAAATATCCCCGGTAGTTCTTGTCTGATTGTAATAAAGTAGCAAAGCAGTGTGGGCTTTTTCAGGTTTACTAATGCCTGGCTGGTATAATGACTGATCCAAATTGATCCCATTTCTGTGTTTTTTTACCTCGATATTTAATCATGTCATGTAAAACTGTGACTTCTATTACGTATGATATTAAAAATTGACATTTGATTTATTTGAATCCGTAAACTAAACAACCCTACTTTGCCATTGCTAGAAGAATCTGAAAATATACTTAGGTAAATAGGTACATACAGTTTTAGCACACAGCAAATGCTTATTTGTATTTCTTATGCAACAATGAAGTTCTCTTTGTATTAAAATTGCATGCAATACAGCAATTAATACTCCCTTGTAACCGTGTTAGGTGGTATAAACCTACACATGTTATTTTCATCATTCACTTGATGGTCAGTTAATGAAATTATAACAGGTATAATTAGTGGTAACACCACTTAGATTACCCGACAAAGGTTCCCATTTGGCATTTCTTGTGTGTGGAGTAAATATTAAACATTATAAGCATCGATCAAATGATTAACCGATAACACGCTGATTGATTAATTACTTTTATCTTGCACGGCGGATTTGTCAAAAGGTAGTGTTTATGTATGTAGATTTACT